CAGCAGTGCTGTGAAATGACTTTCAATGAAGTTTCAGAACAAAAACCAGGTTTGGACCTGATAACCATCTGGTCACTGTGCACCTGAGCATAACTGGAATTTCACTGTCTGTGTGTGTGTCTGTGTGTGTGTGTGTGTGTGTGTGTGATCCAGAAGACTCACTGTGGATCCTTTGGGCATGGCAGTTTCATCCACGAGAAGGTAGAGGATATTCAGCGCCACCATGAGGACAGAGATTGTCTGCAGACAGAGACAGTGTCTTTATGTCTCTACTGGTCAGTCTGTGAACTTTCTGTCTCATAATCCCAATCTGGTTTCATTTCAGATTATTTTTTTATACCCCGTGAATCGATGTTTGGGTCCATCCCTTCACGACCCCCCGATCCCCCCACCCCCCTGATCTGCTAAACCACCACCAGCTGCTGCTCATTCACCACCGTGGTTACCACACCCGGACAGAGGAGGCGCTGCAGTGGTCCCAGACGTCCAGTCAGGGTCAGGGTCAGAACTCACCGTTCCTGCCAGCAGGATCAGCATCACCACTGGATACAACAGGTTCTTCTCCCAGCCTGACGCCTTCTTCCTCCGCTCTGGAAGGAGAGCAGAGAGGAGTGACATCACAGGAGCAGGACACACACACACACACACACACACACACACACACACACACACACACACCTCCATCACTGAAGACTTAATTAATATGTTCATCAAAGACACTACTGAAACCACACACACACACACACACACCCTCAGGCTCTTTTATATGGAGTGTGTGTGTGTACCAAACATAATCTCACTTCTCAATCCCCCCCCCCCCAGGTAATATATATATATATATGTGTGTGTGTGTGTGTTCGTTCTTCCTCTTTAATTAGCCAAACTCATCATGACCTTAATTAGAGTAAACAATATTAAACCAGATCAAACAGATGAAGCTAAATTAATGTGATGATTTATGTGTGTGTGTGTGTGTATCTTCCCTCAGCAGATGAAACACTTCCACTGCCCCCCCCCCCCCCCCCCCCCCGCGCGCCCGGGGGGGGGTGGCGCCGCCGGCGGTACCGGGACGCTTGGACGCCAGAAGCCTGAGCCCGCCCGGGCTAGCCTCCC